CACTCCCACCCCCACATTCATAGCCAGCCCCATCACTCACCTCCACTCACTCCCGCCCCCACATTCACAGCTACCCCCATACTCACCCCCACTCCCCACATTCACAGCCACCCCTCCACTCACCCCCCCACCTCCCCCTGCACTCACTCCTCCCCCTATACTTACCCCCCCCACACCCACACTCCCTCATACTCCCTGGTGGTTTTAAGACCTGACTAGTGCCCGCCCCCTCCACTTTACTCCCCACCAGCCCTAAGAGTGAGACCCTATTGGGGAAGATGGGGAAGCCGGTGGCCCGGGGACCTGGCCTGCTTTGGCTAGTACTGCAAGTGCACCCCGTGCCCTGGGGAGGCCCCCACTCCAGCCCCTCTCAGAGGGAGGCTGGGGCTAGGATTCAGAGAGAGTGAGCTGGCCTGCCCTCGGTAGGCTGCACTTTATTTCCCTGATGTTCTAGGTCAGCCTTCCAGCACGTGGGGCTGGCACAGCCCAAAGTGTGTTTCCCAACCTGAGCCTCAACCCTCCCCAAATCCCAAATCCCAGAGGAGAAGCTGGCTGGGCCGGGCGGGCCCAGGGCTCCTGCCTCCCACCCTAGCACATGTCCGCTTGTCCGTGTCATTGCTCGCTGGCAAAGCCACTTTCTGTGCAAGGGAAGGGCTCCTGAGGAGCAAGTGGCATTGAAGTTGAGGCTCCCACGTCCAGGTCCTTCCACGTGGCCAGGTGGGCTGGAATGTAGGCTAGGGCTTCGTGGCGTGACCCCCACCCTCACCCAGAGGGCTCAGGCGTCAACAGGCTCCGGTTTGTGGTAATCCTCCTGGACCGGGATGGTGCCACCCTCCTCCTCTCTGGGGCAGGTGTAAGCATCTGGCTCCGCAGCCTCCACAGGCTGGTCCCCTTTGTCTGCCGCAGAGGAGGGGCGAGGGGCGAGGGGCGACAGTGAGCCAAGGAGGGGGAGGCTGGGCGCATCTGGATGGTTAGCAGAGTGGGAAGGATGCCAGGTGGGCAGGTGGAGCAGGGGGGTGGGGCCTCACAGCGGTGGGAGGCAGGGGCTGCAGGGCTGAGAGGGGGTGGGGCAGGTCTGCAGACCCTTATTTTTGTCTCTTACTTGTTCCATACTTTCTTTGTTGGTGGAAGAACAGGGCTCCGCCCAGGGTGAAAGCCAGGAACATCCCAGAGAGGACCACCAAGATTCGGATACATTCTGAGCTACACAGGGACCTTTGGGCTGTGTGAGGCAGGGGACACCCGTGGGCTTGGAGAAAGGCCCAGCCCAAGACCCTCCTCTACCCAGCCCGCATGTCCTCCCTGGCCTGTCTCCCTTTGCCGGCCTTTCTGCTCTCACACTGGACCCAGAGCTCTCCTGGTTGCTAGACATTGCCTTCCCTGCCCCTCTCAGCCCTTCTGCTCAGAGCTTTCTGGATTGCCGCCCTCCCGTGTGCATTTCTCAGGGGTGGATATGGTGCGAGGGGTGGTGGTGTACTGGGCGGACACTCACATGGCCAGTGGGTAGAGTGCACGGGCGCAGGCTGCCGCCTGTTCTGAGCCAGAGTCTGCACGGGCCTGTTGGTTCTGCTCTCAGCCGTGTCTGGGAAATCAGACAAGTCGAGTAGCAGCAGACAGCCTTCAGGGCCAAGGCAGCATTGGGTGTGAAGGGGTCCCTTAAGCAGGCTGGGCAGCTTAGGGGTGGGGGCGTTGGGTGGGTGTGGTAGCAGGGAGTGCTGCTTGGCATCATCCCCCCCCTCTCACCCTCCCCACCCCCTGTGACTTGACAGCCAGTCAACTGGAGCTTACCTTGGGTGAGAGCCAAGCTGGTGGGTTGTAGGTGAGGGTCTGGGGCCTTCGAGGGATGAGTGGTCACCAGGGGGTTTGGGAGCAGGTCACATTCGGTACACTCCTTGTCCCGGCACTGCCAGCCACTGGGGCAGGCGCACTCAGCGTTGGCAGTGGTGGTGCAGTTACGGAGGCGGAGGCCTGGGGAAGGATACACTCAGGCTTCTTCCTCTCCCCAGCCTGCCTTTTCTATCCCACCCCCACCCCTGCCCCCAAAGCCGGCCCTGCTTTGTGGGCTGGGTGCCTTTGTCTTGGGAGCCTCCGCTGCTATGATTTTAGATGAATCCTGGGTTCAGACATAGAAACCATGGAAAGGAGGCACAGCCTGCGTAGTTAATTTTCCCTCTTACTCGCGGATACAACTTCTCTGGATCATAATATAGAAATGTACCAGGAGCCTTCAGATAGTTCAGGGTGGGAGGGTGGGGATGCAATGAAAAGAGAGTAGGATTTTTCCACAGGCACTTTTGAAGCCCTCTCAGATATATGCTTGTAGGGGCTCCTTCCACGCCGTCCACGCGATCCCCCGATCCACCGATGCGTGGAGTGTGATGATTACGGATGCTCACAATCCGTGTATGAACACACCGGAGCTTACTCACTCTGCTCTCACTAGGCATTTGGGGATTCTCTCGTTTTCACCGGTTAGGAATAGTGTTGCTATAGTCCCTGGCATGTTTTTTAATCTTTACTGGACAGTTATTTGATCGCTGACATCCTTTGCCATTAAAATAGGAATTTTACTCAAGTGTCGAGGTTGGGTACTGGGTAAGCTAAGCAGTCAGTTGCCCTGGAGGACAGGCTGCCCTTGGCAGAGGCGATTGAGGCAGAGAGGAGGACGATTTGGGGGCAAGAAGAACTCCTGGAGGTGTCCCCGGCTTGAGTGGCGCCTGGTAGGGCCTTGGCGCAATGCCATCTTGGAGCCCCAGAAAGAGGGGCCCTGACAGGTAGGAAAGGGGAGTAGGGAAGGTGCCTCAGACTACTCTCAAGTCTTTAACGGTTTCCGCCAGGATTTGACATCTCTTAGGGAAGTCAGGGGACATATTTGAATCATGTTTAGGCCTTGTGGCCTTATCTTCATGAATTCTACCTCACGTTCCTACTAGAGAATCGTTTCTTTGTGATTTGCCAGGGGCTGTAAGCCCTGGAGTCTGGACGAGGAGCTGTAGGAGGAGGACGGAGGGAAGCCTGGAACAATGAGCCCAGAAGAGGGAGGAAACTAGGGCTTGAGCCTCTCGTTTCAGGCACTTTCCCATTTTACAGATTGAAATACTGTCCACCAAACTCCTTCTATCTCCTTCTCACCAGCAAGACCCTGTGGCCTTCTGCTACCTGCTTTAGGGGTCTGCTGTGGGCTGGGGTCTTAACCAGGAAGGATCATTGCCTGGGCCGGTTTGGAATACAGTGTAGGAAGTGGGGACCCGCTCAGTCTGGGGACACAGGTTTTCTGGTGGGACCTGTACAGTGAGCCTTGAGTGAAATCATTTTAATGCCAAGAAGGGTGAACCATCCATTAACAATCTTACTTGTAAATGACAGGTGCTCCGGAATGCATCTTTTGTATTCAAGAGGCTGCTGCCCTTTGAGTCATTTGCAATGAGCCTCCACCCCCCATCCCCCATAAAAAAACGAGGCAGTATTAAAAAGCCTAGTGAGACTCAATGTATCTCACTGGAAAGTAGTTTACCATCCTCGGTCCTGTCCTGCTGAAAAACATTTGCTCAAAGGGATTACCTAAAAAAACCTCTAGGTTAGGGGATACGGGTATGTGGCTTCTGAAATTCTAGCAAAAACGGAGACAGGATAGAATGATTCATCAGCACAGCTGAAGATCGGGAGTTGCGTAGTTTTAAAGAACAATTGGTTGTTTTTAGGGGCTGCTGATTTGGTGCTGACCCATAGCGATCCCATGCACAACGGAGGGAAACCCTGCCTGCTCCTGCCCCAGTCCCACCATCGTTCCTGTTCCCGAGCCCGCGGTGGCAGCCAACACTGTGGTGTGAAAGAGCCACCTCGTTGTAGGAAAGGAAAAAGAACACAAGTTCCTGTACGTTTTCATCTTCCTAAACTGATGTTTGCGCCCAAAGAGGCTGCTCCCCCGGGCGGACAGTATGCTCCAAGTTTAGCTGCCCAGCATCCCCCCTGCATTCTGGGAACGCTGTCCATTCATCTCTCGGGTTTGCTTCTCTGGGGGCTGAGCTCTTGAGACCTCTCCCCACCTCTTAGGATGTTGGTCTCCATGTGCGCTGCTGGGTCCTTCACATTCTACCTATCTCCTTCTTTGAAAGATGGCTCCCCCCCTCTTCTGCCAGCCCCCCCAAACATGGGCCCCAAGTGCCAGGAGCCTGGGCATGGGCTCTCCACGCTACTTCTTCACACCCAGCTCATCAGCCTTGCTCCCCAACGCTGGCCACGGTCACCTCCCGCCTCCGCTCCCAGCCCATCTCACCGAAGTTACAGTGCCGACAGCTCTCGCAGTGGGGCCGGCGGTGGTGGTCTGGGGAGAAGGAGACTCCGGGCATACAGGGCTCGCACTGAGTAGCCTTTCCGTGCCTGTCACAGCTCTGCACGAGGAACGTCCCTGTGAGACAAGGTCCAGTGTCAAGGCCACAGGAGGCCCCTTCCCCTTGTCCACCTCCAGGCAACACCTCCCAGCTGCCTCAGGGCTCCTCTTGCTTCCTGGAGCCCCTTCCGACCCTGACCCTCAGCTCCCCCTGCTCCTGCCCAGGTTCATTCTCTTACCTGGCTCACACAGCTGACAGCACAGGCCGTCCTGAGCTTGGTAGTACTTCTCTGGACAGCCTCGGGGGCCGGGGGTGGCCGAGAGCCCCGCCAGGGTCCCCAGGACCCACAGGCAGCAGGGAAGTGGCCAGGCCATGGCGCCTGCCCAGGGTGCTCTTCCCCCCTGGTGGGTGCCTGCTGGTCTCTGCGGGCTGGCCCTCCCCAGGAAGGTGTTGCTGCCTCTTGCTTGTCACCTCCTTAGCAATGACTGTGGTTCCTCACCAAGTTGCCCCCTTCGAGTGGCACCTTGACCTGGGGTGGCAGTTGTGGGCCTGGAACAGCGAGGTGCAGTTGTTTTTCCTCTCACAGCGGCAACCTCCCCGCCCCTTTCTGCTTTGCGTGTGCTGGGAGGAGGGTAGGAACTGAGCAAACCCGAACTGAGCGGCCCCTCTTCAAAGATGCCCCTCCAACACACCAGCCTCCCCCTCGGTTTCCGTCTCTTTCACTGGAGCTCACGAGGCAGGCATTTAACCCATTGGGGCCTTCCTCTTTTTACCCAGTGCTGGGTGTACACAGCTGCCCACGGACGTGCACCTAAAGACATCCAACCACACGCGGCTCACGAGTGAACCCAACTGGCCTCCCTCTCCCCTCCCCCTGTTGCCATGTCCCCACGGTTTGCAAAGCGACCCAGCTGAAAGAAGGGAGGGGCCAGAAGTGAGCCTAGGCTCACAGCCTGTTATCTGTGACTCCTGGCATCAGATGCGGTTTGGAATTCAGACTTTTACTTGAGGCTGGAGAGAGAAACTAGCCCCACCCACTCCTGGACACCTCATGGAGCTGGGCAGCGCTCAGACTCAGACACCTGCCTCTTTCGCGCACAGCAGTTGGCTACTTACACTCTGCAGGATGAATATGGACAGTGATGACACTTGGCCCATGGAGGTTTGATTTTATGGCCAAAAGAGTTGGCTCCAGAATTATCCAGAATGGCAAACTCTACTCTGAAGACATGGTGCTAGGCGGTCACAGCCAGTCCCATTCAGTCGTTACCCCAGCCTGTGTGAAGTACCAGGGGCTGCCCCCTGCCAGGCTGCCTCCTTCTCTCTCTGACCCATGCTCACCAGAGCTCCCTCCTCCTCCTCCCTCACCTCTAGCTGTGTCATTTACAGTGTCCCGGAGCTCCTGGGACACCTCCTTTTCTGGCCTTGCGTGTTTGGGACTAAAGGCACCTTTCTATGCAGTCATCGCTTCTCTGTTTCTCTGGTTCTCCCGGAAAGATTGATTTGAGGATGTGGGAAATGGGTGGACTTTGCCCTCCGGGAGCCCTGGCTCAGAACCTCTCCTCGTTTCCCCAGTGGCTGAGCTATGGGGTGGCTCACTTCTCTAGGACATTTTCATACAGGACCTTTTCAGTTGTTCTCACACTGCTCAGAAAATGTCACCTCCCTCCCCCCTTGGCTGCACCTGTTAGATCTGTTCTCTCTTTGTCTCATCTTTGGTTTCCTCTCTCTGATATTATTTTCCCCCCATCCTACTGCCTTCCCTCACCCCCTCTATAGTGCCCTAACAGGGTCTTCTCAAGTGCAGTACACAGATGAGTGCAAGCGGAAGAAGGATGCATGTAAACCTGCCCTCTTTTTTTGAGAATGATGATGGCCACAAATGTACAAAGGTGCTTGACACGGGATGGATGGATGGATTGTGATAAGAGTGTGAACCCCCAATAAAAGGATTAACAAAACCCAAACTGTCCTCTTCACTCTCAGGCAGGGCGCCCGATTGCCTTCCCCAGAGAGGGTGTCCTGGGAATTCGGCAGATGTTTCTGCTATGTGGAGCCTCCCTGCTCCCGGTGACACCGAATATCTCCACTGAGTCCAGAGAGGGGTGTGAAGGGGTATCAATGAGCAAAAGAATATGTAAAGATAACATTTTTACTTAGTCACAACAGTAAAAGCCTTTTGCCTGGGAACATCTGTGAAACCGAATGACCCCATGTGAGGCTGTGGTTCTCAGCATGGCCTCCAGCTGGGTCTGCACACTTCGGAGGGTGGTGTTTCCAGCGCTTTAACTCTTCTCTGAAGAATTCTGCGCTCTGATGGACGTGTGTCGAAACATCAGCTTTGGTGAGTGCAAGGTCAAGGAGCTGAAATCACATTCCTTCTCAATGTCCTTTGAGTTTGGGGGATGTGTTAGTCTGGAGAGACAAATTCATAGACACTCATATGTATATAAGAAAGAGCTTTATATAATGAGTAATTGTACATTAAGAACACATCCCAGCCCAGTCCAGATCAAGTCCATAAGTCTGACACTAGCCCATATGTTCGATACCAATCCATAATGTCCTCTTCAGACTCACGAAACACATGCAATGATGCCGAATGCAGGAAGATCACAGGCCAGTGGGTGGAAAGGCTTGTGGATCCAGTGGCGTTCTAAGCATCTCAGCCATCTGGAGCAAGCAGACACCAGTTTATCCCACAACGAGTAGGGCCCACTCCCTTCTGATAAGGATAGTAGTTGTCTGTTTCCTTGTAGGCGACACCGGAGAGGTCAAACCCACCCAAGGATGACCAAAGTTAGGCTGCCATCATGAATCTAGGGTCCGCCCATCTTGTCACATGTGTACCCCTAGACCTTCCCATTCCGATGGGCACACCCCTAGCTCATCCCCTTCCTGTCATGCTTATGCCTATCATACATCCCCTTCCTACAATGTGTATACCTATTGTACTGCCCCTTCCTGTGATGCGTGGTTACCTGTAATCATGTCCCCCTAAAGAGATATAACGCTTGGTTAGCAATAAAGAGAAAGCTCTCCCCGGTCCTCACGCCCGTGGGCTCTCCTGCTCTCACCTCGGAGGCTCTCTCCTGCTCTTGTGGCCGGGTTCCCCCCATGAGGACCACCAAGCGGGGCTGAGGTGAGCATGCTACCATGAATTGTGTCTGACTCCTTTATTCCACTCTCTCCTCTACCTCTCATGCTCTCTATGACTTTACTATAATCTTTACTTATTATCGC